AAATATTATAATAATGAGTTTACAAATTATTGAAAGTTTTATTATCCCTACTGCAACTCTAAGTAAATGGAAAGATTGAAATCAAGATTAGAAGTACCCAGTACCAAACACTAACAATTTATTGTTGACAAACAATTCTGGACAAGAAGACAGGAAAAATAAGGCGGGTGAAAAGCAGAATAGCGTCACTTGTCAGGGACACCAACATTGAAGGTTTTTAAATATATTAGAAGCATCAAACGGTACAGTATTTTATGTATTTTCCCAGTGACAAGAACTTGAATATTTAATTATTAAATTTAGTTACCTTAAGCCTTTGTCCTTGCAGGATGAAGTTATATTTCTCCAATTAAAAACGTATAATATTATGTTGCATAGCTATTGCAAAAATAAAATAATACAAATAATAGGTGTTCATGCTTTTTCCTACAGTCACCCGACAAAGTTGGCTTCCTTGTACTGTTTATAGTACAGAAAGCTGCATATTTATACTTTTCCTACAGTTACCTAACAATGTACATGTTCTCTCTCTGATTTGAGAAAGCAAAGTGGCCAATTTGCTCACCAGTGCTAATTACATTGTCTCACTCCAGATTTGCAACATGAAGGCACGAAATAGTGAGCGCGTAACTTGCAGACAAGATCGTATGCGCGCGAAATACGTTGGCAGCACTGGCTGTAAATCAGCTGGTCAGCTGTTGTATCATTAAATGTCATATTGAAAATTCACTTCTGAGTAAAAATATGTTACGTTTCTTTACCAATTTATTTGTTTATGGTAACTGTAGGAAAATTATAATGTGCAACTCGGGTGCAAAGTGCAATTGACTCACTCGAGAGAAATACTAGTTGTACAAATAACTATTTTCGTACGGTTTATACTTTGGCGCACATCAGGATTCCAACGAAACAACTTAAAACAGCGTGGTTCTATTATGCACTATATCCGTGTACGCTTGGAAATAGGCTGGCAAAACTTAAAGATAATAATATCATGAGCAGCTGATTGAGTATTATAACTACGATTTAAACTGTCATTTCGTGTCTATAGTTTATGTGCTCTTTTCGGTATTTCTGAACTTTCTGGACTTTTCTTTTAAACGTTTTTAAAACATTCCTACGATTTTAATAAACAAGGAAATACCTTTAAAGCATTTTTTAGGTGCGGAAACCACTGCAAATTACAAAAATATACGGAACTATTTTCTCAAGTCGCGGAGCACATTGCTTGCCGAGGAAAAAATTGCGGAGTGATACGGACGGGGGACTAATTTCTCTAGGGCACCTATTTGTGTTGCCAGCTGAACCTAAAGACGTGTTTATAGTGTTTGAAAGATTAATTTTGTATATGCTTTTTAGTGACTGTAGGAAAAATATAATGTGTAACACGAATGCAAAAGGCCTTTGCTGCACTCGAGATCATTCCGCACTCGCCTGCGGCTCGTGCGTAAACTTTGCTAACTAGTGTTACACAAATAACTATTGCTTTTTTAGGGAGAGGAGGGAAAATGCTTTTACGCACACAGGTAGCCAGCCTTTATCACAGACTGCTCTATATAAAAATCCTCTACTCTGTTGGACACAGACCTGGAATTGTTTGTCACATTACTTCAAGTCAGGCCAACATGTGACCTAAGCCCTTGAGGGCTCTCGCCGTTTCTGGCATTTAGACTATTTATGACCTACACCACATCCCGGCCAAGGTCAAGATTCTTGGCGCGGATAATACTCTTGATGTAATGTGACACACCCAGGTCAAACTGTCCTCACCATCTGTCATCATCGGTATGACCGGATCCACTGACAGCAGTCCTACTAACTGTCGAGCCTCCTGGCGGGGCCTTTCCCAACGCTGGGAGTGGAAAAAGGTATGTTTCACGTCACCGGGAATGCCTGGGCAGTATATGCAATCGGATGACATGGCTTTGCCCATCCTGAACAGGTACGACCGGAAAAAGTCAACAATCGTCAGAAATTGGGTGAGGTATAGAAAGTCCACCTCTCCGCACCACCGATTAACCCAAGGTTTTACTTGCTGTATCAGTCGCTTGGCCCAGCGTCCCCGTGTCTCCCGTTCTCTCCTGTCACTGCTGGTAGGTGCGGGTACATTCCTCTGTTCGGGCCTGGTCCTCCCCACGGCGCTGATAAATTGCCTTTCTCTCCGTCACCAAAAGTTTGACGGGGATGACTCCATAGCAACCACCAGGACGGTGGGTTCGGACACTGTTCGGTAGGCGGATGCTACTCTTAGTGCTGCCTGACGCTGCACTCGGGTGAGCCGCATCACCTCCTTATTGAGTACGTCTGCCCACACCTCCACACCGTACAAGAGTACGGACTGGGCAGAAGGCAGAAGACATTGACATTGGACATTGGCCATCAACTGGTTAAGGATAGGAAACCAAACTAGCGGCCTTGTCCTTGTCCGCCGTACGGAAAATCTGACCCCGCCAGCTAAGCTTGCTGTCTACCATAACCCCAAGGTACTTGGCAGTACGAACGGTCTGGACTTCGACGGTCCCCACCCTCAATGGGGGGCATGATGGTGTCAATCCGTTTTTTTTTTGTTAATATCACGATCTCATCATCTAATATCATCCATGCGTTTATGGTACGCAAAACTTGGTTCAGATTTAGCTAAGGCAGCTCAGCTACGTGCAGCTATCAATGCTGCAACGTCGTCTGCGTACCCAACCAAAACAGTTTCCTCAGGCATTTCAGACCTCAGAAGGCTGTCATATAAGCTACATTCCAAAGGTCTGGGCCGAGTATGGAACCTTGGGCAGCAGCGGAAGTGACACTCATCATCGGTGTTCATGCTTGTTGATCATTAGTAAAATAATATTAAGAATTCTCGAAGCATTCATAATTCTAGTTAACTGAAACTGTTACTAAATTCTTATACTCTTTCAAAATTATATGTAAGTTAGGTACAATATTGACCTTCGTTCTCTCAATTTGTGACTTTCATATATTTTTGATTTCATATATATTATCGATACAGCACAATCATTTTTGATTCTCTTAGGATAACTTCAATAGCTTAACCTAGGTCCTCTTTGAGTCTCTAATTAGTGCAACACCGCATCCTCCAAAGCATAAGCGTAGAGCAAGAGCCAAAGATTAACTTCAGCTTCTATATTTTTGGTGCTTTTCAAGGTTTTCCTACTCCTCCTATAACCTCTATAGAAATACAAAGTACAATTAGTTGGGGAAAGTCTATCTCCTTGTCGGTTTGTTTTTACAAACGAGTTACAACTCATAAAGGAGTAATTGGTTTCTGAATATTATAATTTTCTATTTATTTATTTATTCATTTTGTTGAAATGCCCTTTTTTAAATAACAATTTATTAACCGATCAGCATTACATTGCTATACAGGTTAGGTATAATATAAGAAACAAAATAGCACTATTAATTACTGTAAATTAAGAAATAGGTAGAGGTCAGTTTATGACTAACCCCTCAGGCACTTACTGTCACTGTTTTAGCGGGTCGGACAGTAAAGGCGCTTCAAACGTTCTACTGTCTTCTATCGTTACTTTTGGCTTGTTCTTCTTCAATACACTTCTGTATCGAATAAATCAGTTCACTGGGTATGCTGATTTCCTGGATGGTTTCCTATAGAGTTTTGGTCTTTTTATGCTTTTACCATAGATAAAACATAGTCCCTCAGCTTTTACTTATAGAATATCAATAAACTATAACACTCTTTATTATATCCTCTATACTTTATTGATATAATCTCAATAATCACAGGAATTTGGTCTCTTACTGATATAAAATTGACTTGGTGGTCTTAAATGAATTTTACTGCATACTGTTTGATTCTGTTTGGTAATATTTAAGGTGGTAATTAATTGTTACAATATATCCCCAATTACCAAATTTTACTAGTCGTTGGGATATACAAAAAAATAACAAAAATCTTAATTATCGCAAAAAATTAAAGGCTTTATTATAGTGATGATTTAATTTAAGGGATATTTAGTTTTCTTTTATCCTATGTTTGACAAGACAACCCTGAATATAAATTTGTTGTACTTGACTCGTAGTCTTAGGCGGGTCTGACTTAGGGGAGGTACAAATGAGGCATTTAGTTCAAAATTCCTCCGTGAACTGTACTAGAGTACTTTGGTAGAGAAACTGTAGTAGAGAGCACTTTGGCAATAAAGGTTTACTAACCTCAAAAATAGTTCTGTTCATAAAATAAAATTATAAATGCCTCAAATTCAATTTTACTATTTTTTAATTATAAAATTAAATTAAATTTAATTATAAAATCATAACCTAACCGAACTAACCAAACTTGCTGATAAAGAAATAATATAACAACAGTTTAGTAATCGGAAAAATAATTCTGTTTATTAAATAAAACTAGAAATTGCTCAATTAAAATTTTATAATGACTTAATAATAAAATTAAACTGTAATAACCGAACCAAACCAACCAAACTTGTTAATAATAAAAAAATCTTGGGCAAAAAGTTAATACTACCAGTGGGATTCGAACCCGGGACCTACAGTATATCAGCCCGGCACGCTAACCATTAGACCACCGAGGCCGATGGCCAACGAACGTTTTGTTACGGTAATGGCGTTCCCTCAGCTAATAAGAAGCCCTCAGCTGTCATCGTAGCCTCTTCTATACCTCCCCTGAGTAAATACCGTCGTGTAGGCCTACTCCGGCCGGGTGGGTTCCATAATATCGACAACCTTAGAAATTGATCGAAACTGAATTATTCCCAGTTTGTCGACACTGGAATATTCCCACTTAACCGACATCCCAAATAACCGACGTCGCAAATGATCGACACCACAAATTGTCGACATCCCATATTGTCGACATTGAAATAGTTTCACTTTGTCGACACTGAAATAGTCCCAGTATATCGACAAGCTCCCGTTCTTCGGAGCTACTCTTGAATAGGAGTTGTTCTAATTCATCGTTCCTCAACTCACGAGTCGCAATATTAATATTTGATTCCGAATTCCGACGGACATCTACAAAGCTGGCCATCTATGGACTAAAACTTTTATATTGTAAATATTTATCTTTTTTATTTCTTTCCTTGTTTACAAGAAAATAGATGACTCGAGTGTTACAAACAATTAGTTTTTAAGGAATAATGTGAAATAATTTTCATAGGATAAAAAACTTAAAAACATTACTAGGCCTAGACACTAACTTAGGTAAGTCACCAACAAGAAGGTAAGAGGTAAGATACCAACAAGAACCTAAGATACAGCTTGTTCGTAGGCTAATTCTGGATCATAGAGCAATATTATAGCAAATGTTTGAATAGGCATATCCCTAGCCTAGGCTATTATGATTGTCTCTTATCCCCACTGACCCAGTGTCAACTTTGAGAATTTGTTTATGTAAAAATATTTGGCTGCACTTTAGTTTAGGCTATGTCCTACATTTATTCAAATGAAAGATATTAAATACATAGACTATTTAGTATTTTGAATATTTCATTCCTTTAGTTAGGTTAGGTTTTACTCTTAACTAACCAAACTTGATATAGGCCTAGGCCTAAGTTTATCGAATGAAATAATCAATATGACTGGGACGTGTGGCGTCGTCCTGTAATCCAGCTACTAAGTTAGGAGGTACGATACTCCCTGGTGTGGATTAACGTCCGCACGAGTGAGTACTTACTGTGGGAAAATAAAACTCTTCAGAACTTTCGACAACTTAGTTATATTTTACACTTTTAAAAAACAGGACAACAAAACGAACCTTCTCTAAACATTAATTCAACTCAACACCCATTAGTCACCATGACAACCGAAATATCCAAAATCGTAAACATAAAGGACACTAGTCAGCTGATGCTAGTTCACAGCTACACGCCCCCGTGGTGTCAACACCACTACACGCCCTCGAGATGCCGACACAACTTACACTTTCATTTTTACTTTCAACTACTTTTCGCACATCTGCTATGTGATGAGGCCTGCCATTTACTTCAACACTTCTGGGTGAAAACTGTCCAGTAACCACTCCTTCCTTCCATCTCGAAGTACAGGATGGGTTTGGCGGCTTGACATACACACGTTCACCTACTGTAAAATGTGACCCTTCATACACTTCACCTTTTACAGGTTCACCTTTACATCGCCATTGGTACGAAAAAATCTGGGAACTCGGCGATGAATCGCCACCTAATCCTTCTTTAGGTGTCAAATTGTACCAATAGACCATTTCTTGGATACTCCCTTTAGTTCTTGCGGCCATACGCTTGATTGTTCTGTGGTTTCGCTCAACTATCCCGTTTCCACTTGGCCGGTTGACACACCTAAACACAACTTTAATACCCCATTTATCACAGAGCTGAGTAATCTCTTCGCATCGAAATGTTGCACTATTGTCCATCAAAATCTCATGTGGTGGCCCTCGATCAGTAAACAATTCCAACAACACTTTAGAAATCTGATCTTTCGTCTCTTTTGGGATCCGGCGCCAAATGCAGAACCTACTTGGACCACAGTCCACAATGGTCATGAACTTGCTTTGACCATAGTGTGTTACATCAATGGCAAGCCTATACCAATTGTTCTGGCAATCCAAATACCCAGGCTCCCATTTGATGCTGGATGGATCAATTGACAGACACTCTTGTAAGAAGATCTGCTTTGTTGAACTGTGACTTAATGAGTTCTATTTGTACATTGAGACCACATTCCAAAATAATGTCTTTAAATAGGCTTAATCGTCTTCTAACCAAAACTTCACATTCGCTAAACTTCTCGCCCTTTCTAACACTTTTGACAGCTCCATGTCTTGCAAACAACATGCCGCCTTTAACTGATTTTGAACTTCTCTGGGTAGTCCGTGAACAAAAGAACTCTTTATCCACTCGTCAGAAACTGAAGAATCTATTAATTTAGCCAACCTTTTCAAATCAGATGCGTAGACATCAACAGATTCTCCTGGAAGCAAACGTCTGGATATGAACTCCTCATACGCTTGGAAACAGTTAGCAGAGAAAGCCTGCTGCAATGCTTGGGTCAGGGCGGAGTAATCACTCTTAACTGCGTCGGTAAGCCCATCGTAGACGGCAAATGCTCCTCCAGACAAAAACAAGGGAAGCACTGATTGCAGTTCTTTAACCTTCTGAAGTTTACATACAAGCTCTAACTTTTTCAGCCATTCCGAGAAGTCTCCTTCGCCATCATACAACTTTACCAAATCCGAAAATCTTGTACCGTTTCCAGACATGCCGAAATAGCTTGTGGGAAAATAAAACTCTTCAGAACTTTCGACAACTTAGTTATATTTTACACTTTTAAAAAACAGGACAACAAAACAAACCTTCTCTAAACGTTAATTCAACTCAACACCCATTAGTCACCATGACAACCGAAATATCCAAAATCGTAAACATAAAGGACACTAGTCAGCTGATGCTAGTTCACAGCTACACTTACTACGACTCTCTGCAGTACTATCCTGATAATTAGACCAATTCGTATAAGTTAGGCCTATACCAAGGCAATAATGTGGTTTGGATTCCACTATAAACTGTAGGTCCCTTAGTTGCCATTAGCTGTACCTTATGGGCTAACAGCTGTGTCTAAGGAATGGCGGTCTTTTAGTCACTAACAAGACTACAAGATCGGGCTACTCATCCTACACTTATCTCCATTCATACTTGGCTTAAAATACCTACTTTGCATGGTCGCCAAGTAATAATAAAGAAAGTATTAAAGAAATATATTTATTGGAATGAGTGTAGGACGTAAACTTAAGTGCTGTAAAATATTCTAGAGAGGTTTGTATTTGATGTAAGACTAGTCTTGGATTATATCATTCATTGCTGATGACTTCAATGTTAATTTTATAGATGATCCTGGAGCAAAGGCTGTAATTTGACCTGAGCCCAAATTGGTCTCTAGTTTAAATACCCTATTGTCTTGAACCAATAAGTTAAGAGGACTAACCTTTCTTGACGACATTGCCATCGACATCACTGCAGGTGAGAGAGAAAGAGAGACCAGAGTTGTGTACCCTAGAGTAACCAAATACCCTATTGTCTTGAACCAATAAGTTAAGAGGACTAACCTTTCTTGACGACATTGCCATCGACATCACTGCAGGTGAGAGAGAAAGAGAGACCAGAGTTGTGTACCCTAGAGGCAATTACCATACTGCCGTGATAACTAAGTTATTCAAAGTTCAAATCAGTACTTTGGTAAGTATTATCCAGAGGCTACAGATATACAGCGCTTTGCGGCGGTTATGTTAGGTTGGGTTATCATAAATGGAAAGTACCATTTTGGGGACAGAATTTTACCTTCATTCGATTTTTTTCATTATCAGCAAGTTTGGTTGGTTAGGTTAGGTTATGACAGTAACTGCCGGATGCCTAATCCACACCCGGTTACCGGACCCGTATCCTCTGCGTAGTATTTTACGTACCGTACTGAATCCAAATAGACTACTATTTTTCACCGCAGATGAATATTACTGAAACAGAATAAATCGCCGTTTAAAATGTTTGAATAGTCAAGGTAGGGTGGATGACATTAACAAGTAGAATGAACTGTGGGTGACATTGGCGTCGTCAGCATCAAAAGATTGAGGGGGACAAATGTAGGAAGGGGGTGCCCCTGGGGGTCCAACAAGGCCGGGGGGTCCAAAAATTGGTAATTTTCAAAGCAGTTTGGTGACTTTTTAAAGCCATTTTTAACACCAAAAACCGTGCCCAATCGTCCATAAACTCCCATTTCACCTGTTGTTTGTCATGAGCAAATAGACAATTTAAAAATTAAACTAAAGACGATGCAATAATGAATTTAAAAACACGCTGTAGACTAAGGCCATATCCTCCTAAAAGCCGTTTGGTGACTTTATACAGCCAGTTTTAACGTCTAGAACTGTGTGCATAACCTCCCTTTTTCCCCCTTTGTTTGTCATGAATAATTAGACATTTTTAAAAACTAACTATGACGATCGAATTTATTCATAAATCTCAAAAAATATTGTAGGCTACGGCCGTATCCTCACAAAAGCTGTTTACTGACTTTCTAAAGCCATTATTAATGTCTATATCTGTGTCCAACTGTCCAAAAACCTCCCGTTTCACCTGTTATTTGTCTTTGTCATGAGCAAGTAGACATTTTAAAAATCAAACTATGACGAACTTGCATTCATGAATTTCAAAACGTAGGCCTACTGTAGACAACAAAGCCATATCTCCCAAAAGCCGTATGGTGATTGGTGACTTTATAAAGCCATTTCTAATGGATAGAACTGTGAACTGTGCCCAATTGTCCTAAAACCTTCCATTTCACATGTTATATGCCATGCAAGCAAGTAGATATGTTTTTTAACCTTACTTTTTTCTCCATTTCTTAGATCTGTCACAATATGTATAGTATCGAATTCAATGACGTTTGAACACTAATATTTCAACCCACAATCTTACATTTTTACAAGCAGGTTTTTATATAAACAATTTGTTTTTGGCCTTCTGCTCGCTTCATTTGACAATAAACAGTTCAGGGTTCAAGTTTCAACTCTTCCAAAAAGTATCAACTAACCTAAAAGAACTATAACCGATACTACCGACAGATACAGCACACGAGGAGAAAAGGGTTAACGTAGGCCTACATATAAATGTATGTAGTATCAACCACTGCCGACTGACGGTGACGGAGCGGACTGAAAGTCTGACTGAAACGCGAGAAGACATTCAAGACAAGCGTCTAGGCATCCATAGTGCAACTCGAGGATCGTGAATCAGAACACCCCTCCACCACCGCATCATGTCGTACGCTTCCGAATCACACAGCGAAGCGAGCACCTTGCTTGCTGGAAGCGATCGATCGGGTGAACACACATTCTGTATGATTTTTAAAATTTGGGATGAGGGACCAAACTGACTTTTCAAATATTGGGGAAAAATCCCCTATGGCGGCGACGCCCGTGGTGGGTGAAGTAACTTTAGCCTACAGCTGATTGTTTTCAACAACAAGCAATTGGAAGTGACAACTTTATTTACTAAATATGATTCCGTCTTCGCTCATAGGATTGGCCCCGATTAATATTAATGACTGATCATATTTATCGGCGTTCCAAATGCTCTAAGTCATAGCCTCCTCTACGGATTTTATAGGCCTGCCTAATGCCTACAACTGACTAAATTCTTTACCCTAGGGGAGCGAGCAGAACTTCAGTACCGGGCTCAAATCCTGCCAGATGACCAATGGATTTTATTATTTATTTTTATTATATTCTTTTGTGTGAATACCACAGCCCTAGACCTAGGCTGAACTGTGAAATGTGAATTAAAATTCCGGACTAGTGCCTGTAGCGTCATAGGACAAAAACAATGTGTGTATACAGTTATCACATTTGTTATAAACTAATAACTAGGCGTCCTGTGCGTAAAATAACACATTTTAACATTATAACAGTAATAATAAAAAGGTTGTTTAAGTCAGTCATTCACAGTTTTCAAAATGAAGCGCATGTGAATTATTTTTCCAACTGTCACCTGACAAAGTGGCCTTCCTTGCACTTATTATAGCACAGAAAGTTGCTAATTGCTGCAATTTACTTACTTTTACCGCACTCTTTTTTGCAGCACTTCTGTATTCCAACCAAACAACACAAAACAGCAAGGTTTTATTAGACACATAATACATACGCACACTTGAAAATAAGTTGGCTACCCATTCAAGATATTACGACTACGATCAACTGGTACAGCTTACCATTTCACCAATGTTTGGTTTTAACCTAACCTAGAAACGTGTTGAACAGAGTTTGAAAGACTAATTATTTATATGTTTTATAATAACTGTAAGAAAAATATAGTTTGTAACACAAGTGCAAACTGCCTTTGCTGCACTCGAGATACTTTCCACACTCGCCTACGGCTCGTGCGTTTAAACATTTCTCTCATGTGTAGCAAAGTGCCACTTCGCCCACTAGTTACAATAGTTTTTGGTTGAACATGAGGATAATATATAATCTGTATGCAAATTTATAGTTTTTTATAACAAATTAAAACTAGGCCCCTACTTAAAATTTATTTGGATTACCGTACATCTCGTAACATGTTGTTTTAATTAGGCTATAGCTTGCAATTTTGCAAATTAGGAAATAACAATGAATTAATGTTTGAAGCAATTTATTTTGTCCAAACCAAATTATTGATAAAAATTCTAATATTTATATTAACTTGACCCAGATTGCTAACAAATTTTCTTTTACTAGCTGTACCTATTTGAATATCGCAAATCTAGAAAGGAGTCTACACTCTTGTATTATTTGTTAGACTGAAATTATTTGTATAACACTATTTTTTATTTTTTGCAATATTTCTGTACAGAGCTGTAGCCTACCAGTAGAATGGGGGTATTGTAATTAATATCCTCTGACATTGGAGGATACAGGGGAGAGTTGCCAGAGGAAGAGGAGATGGAGGATGGGGCGAAGTAAAGACGAAGATTGAAGAGAACTAACTTATGGTAAGTTTTGCCATTTCCTTAAATTTAATACTTATAAATCCAGGGCCGTGTCCTGAAACCTATGTCGCATAACCCTCCTGAATTCCTAGTATAACGAGCATTTTAACTGGAGAGGTGCCCAAAATTTGCTTTTGTTTTTTAGGAAATGTAGGCTATATTTTTTTAAAACATAATTATAATTAATTCTGAATATGTCATAGTGTTTACATTTGGTAAGTACTGAAACAAAAATTATTTTAAGAGAAATGGAAAAGCGTTGCCAACAGAAGCAGTTGAAACAAGTAGAAAAATTCTGATAGATCAATAAGGTATTTAGTACGAGCGTGGTTCAATAAGTCCTTAGAAAAACATAGAATAACATAATGTTTTGGGATAAATTTGATTTATTTTGTTATAATCTCCTTTTATTTAGCTCTATACACTTATCTTAAAGTTTCTCCAACCTCCTTCAAATGCTGTTCAAATAAATAGTAAGTTACCCTACAAACTTGAAAAGCCTACAAAATACTCTTCTGTTTCAGTGATGACCTCATCATTTGACATAAAACGTTGCCCAACAAGCCAATTTGTTATCTTAAGAAATAAAAAAGGTCATTCAGGGCAGTCGACAAACAAAATTATTTTGACGGTTTTCTTTGCCGCCCTGTCAATCCAGTGTGTGGCGGAGGGTGGTGGGAATAGGGGTGTTACAAAGCCAATGTGCGAACAAATTTTAGTAGCCATGGAGCTGTGGACAGCTGAGCACCATGTATTTTTGAAGTGGAAGTGTTTTTAACACGTTCACTGCGGGCGTAGCCGATCGGATACAGGCCGAGCTGTGTTCAGGTGCTGCCGTAACAGATCAGATACGCTCGGCAGTGCCTTTCGTATATCTTCGTTTTTCCTCTAGCGTCGGTCGAAGGCAGACCTATACTTTGTTAGCGTGTAGTGGGTGACTTGCTTTTGGTTGTGTTGTAGGTTGGTAGTAAAATTTCCCCATAAAATCCCCGTCTGGCAAACTTAAAAATCAACTTGGTGTCCCGTCCTTCTCCCTCCTATTGGCAATACAATGGGACCGGCTATATTCCAAGCAGTGCTGCTATCTGTGGGTGTTTAGCAAACTACGTCAACTCTTGTCATAAAATAGGACATCACCACATGTTATTTGATATTCGTCATACCGAAATGTGAAAGCCAATCACCCGGCAATCGGGTTTGTTCGACGCTGCGGGCTGCGCCGCACTGGGGCTACGCCTACCGTTTGATGGGCCGCAGCGAATGTGTTAAAAGTTGCTATACCTGTGTAGCTGTTCAGTAGACGTTTCAATGTGAATCAAAGAAGAAAAGTCCCAACTCGCAACATCATTTTGGGTAGCAACTTTAGAGCTACTAGTTCAGCATTGAAACTAAAATCAACAGGTCAGCCCGGACGCCAGAGAACTTCAAGAGAGTGAGGGAGAAAGACTATGTGTTGTGGTTGAAAGTGTGATTCGTCGCTCATAACGCAATTTTGTCACGTTTAATCAAATCAATCACTTGTTCTGAAAATGAGATGCAATTTGCTTACCCACTGGGCTTCAACTGTTGCACGATTGCTGTTTTGTATGAATAAAAAGTGCAGGTCATATCATAAAATTCTTCTACTGAGTGGCCAGACATGTGAAGAGCTACAGCTTATCTACGTGCAGACCCACAGCAAAATGTTGTTTCAAGTTGGGACTTTTCCCCTTGGACCCACGTTGAAACGTCTACGGGACTACCCCTGAACAGCTACACCGGAATTGCCACTTTTAAAAAACACTTTCACTACAATTTCATGGTGCTCAGCTGTCCACAGCTCCATGGCAACTAAAAATGTCCACACGTAGGCCTTGAAGCGCCCCTATCCCCACCACCCTCCGTCACCGTCTTCCGTGTTTGCAGGGTCATCATCTTTGTCTCCCACGGTCGGCAGTGGTTAAAATCGTGGGCATCCTCGGGGCAATCGTGAACATCTTTCGCGGTTGCAAGGCCTGATTATCGTCATCCCGCGATCGCTGGTAGTCGTAAATTTCGATCAGGCAATCTTTGCAGACGCTTTCGGCTATCATGAGAATACAAGTTAAACTTGGATTATTGTACCCCCTATTTCTAACTGATTGTGAGAAAATTTTTTAAGAGAAAAAAACATTCTTTTGAGGCCCCAAGTGAGTCCCCTTCCCAGGCCGAAGCCCTCGGAAATCACAGTGTCCGCCATTAGGGCAATACGGCCCTGATATTTGGAGGCCTATGTTGGTGTGGGGCTTGGTGCGAACCCCCCCCCCCCCCCTCAGTACGCCACTGAGCAAATTAAATAATAATAGAAGTATGCATAAAAAGACTTGACTTGTTCAGAATACAGTTTTTAATATTAACTAGTGTACATGTTGCTCGAATTCGAGCAATTGCAAAGTATTACAGGAGTTATTTCAAAACGAATAACAGTCATATTTACAAATAATTTAAAAGAGTCAACTCAAAGATTACCGGTGTGTAACTCAGACCATGTTTATCTTCGTTATTGATAAACCTAAAGCATTCCGGCCGGTTTTCTCCTTCTCAAAATGCCTCGCTGTACAGGCAACACAGGTTTTGATAGACATAGACATTGATAGAGGGCCAATTGAGAACGAAATTGTTTGGGGGCAGTGTTAGGGCGCATTTTTAACCTAATAGTTGAGCCTACGTGTCACTGTTCTGTAGCTGCGGTCGTTATCGCGATTACGCCTCCTGTCTATGTTTCGTTGTAGTAGCGTCGGAGGCATTTAAAAGAAAAAACAACAAATAAACAAATTATAGCTACACAAAACAACGATAAATTCACAAATTTAAGTTACAATCATACTAACACGATCTGTCATAGCGACACAAAACAGCGATAAATACACAAATTTAAGATACAACCATACTAACACGATCCGTCTTGGGGGTTATGTTTACACAAACTCAAATAGTAAATAAATGTACTCAATGCGTTTCATTGAATTGAAAAATAAATAACAGCAATTAAATTATACAGCTGATCAAAATGTAAACAATTATGTTCTTCATAAGGATAACATGGAAACTTTCAAAGCCACTGGGGCAGAGCCCAAGGGACTTTTTCAAAAATGTAAGGCCAGTTTGCAAATCTACGCGACATGCTCTTTCCAATGAGACGTCAATGGATAAAATCGGTTAAGAAATGGCGGAGGAGTTCAACCGACAAAGTTTTATGTAGCGTATTAATTATATAGATTTTTGTTCTGTTGTATTCCAGGCCTGATGACAGGGTGGATGGCGATGGAGGCATGGTGGTTGGGGGAGAGGAGGCTGAAGAAGTGGAGACAAATCAGTTTAGATTCATTACGTTGATTAGTTTAATATTTATTTTGTACATCAGTATAGGCCTACTTTTATTTACATTTTTTTCTCATATAGATTATTAAATTAAGATAATTTTATTGTCTTTATGAAAATGTTTTCTTAAATTTTTAATATTTGTTTGTACTTCTGCCTGTTAAAAAAATATACTGTTTATTAAGTTTGTTAAAATGATTACTTTCACTAACTGACCTTGTCTTGGGTGAAAAGAGACATCTTGATTTTATTTAACTAGCAGGGTGCCTGTTCTATGGGCGGGGATCGTATAAGTCAGTTGAAACCTTCTTATATTTTGATACTTAATCATTTACAACTTTATATAGTATAGATCGCTATTCCTGTATTGATGTACTGAAATGAATAAAATTATATGAAATGAAATGTTGTTAGCGAATTTCCCATTTACTCATGGTAAGACGTGGACCCGGGACCGATTTAATTTTTCGTTTTGAGGTCCCTAGAGGCCAAAAACACCATCCGTTAAAATTCATGTATAGGTATCCTATACTCTAATACGAGCAATGTTTGCTTGTATGTATGCTTGCTTGCTTGCTTGCAGAAAGATCTCGAAAACGGCTCCGACGATTTTCTTCAAATCTTGTAAATAGTTTATTTTTGGCCTAAAAACAAGTTTCATGCAGTTAGAACTGCCAACAAAAATCTAATTACGTAGAAAAACGAAACTGAAAGTCACATTTTTTTAACATTAGTCTTATGGGTTGCTAAGTAACCATGTTGGTTGAATTAAATAACAAGGAAAAGGTAAACAAAAGACTTGAAGTTGTAGCACGTGTTCATAATAAACCAACTACCCACAGTATACTAGCAAATTACAAATACAGTACAAAAGGAAAAACATCACTTGTTAATATTGAGCAAAGATTATACCAAAGATTGATTATACTTAAGATTACTCGAGACATTGTAGTCAAGGGTAGCAGTGCGAAGTCTAGGATCTGTTTATGACGAATACATTAAGGTATCTGCAATCCTAAAATGCTATGGGAAGGGAAGGAAACAGGTCCGTGACGTAGGAAGTAGTGAAGGAAGTAGTAAAGGCAATCATAAAATGCTATGGGAATAGAGGGAAACAGGTCCGTGACGTAGGAAGTGATGAAGGAAGTAGTAAATGCGAGCAGTCCGGAGTGTGGGGACTGTTTATGACGATAAGATTAGGGTATCTGCAATCCTAAAATGCTATGGGAAGGGAGGGAAACAGGTCCGTGACGTAGGAAGTGGTGAAGGAAGTAGTCAAGGCGAGCTGTCCGGAGTGTGGGAACTGTTTATGACGATTAGATAAGGGTATGGGCTATCCTAAAATGCTATGGGAAGGGAGGGAAACAGGTCCGCGACGTAGGATGTGGTGAAGGAAGTAGTCAAGGCGAGCTGTCCGGAGTGTGGGAACTGTTTATGACGATTAGATTAATGTATCTGCAATCTTTAAATGCAATGGGAAGGGAGGGAAACATGTTTGCGACGTAGGAAGTGGTGAAGGAAGTAGTCAAGGCGAGCTGTCCGGAGTGTGGGAACTGTTAATAACGATTAGATTAAGGTATCTACAATCTTAAAGTGCTATGGGAATGGAGGGAAACAGGTCCATGACGTAGGAAATGGTGTAGGACGTTGTAAAGGCGAGCCGTGTGGAGTTTGGGAACAGATTTATGTATCTCCGATACTAAGACTGCTTTCAGAGTGAACTAATGATTTTCTCCGAGCAAAGCTCGGTCCCCAGGTACTATATATTTATGAAAAAATAGTTCATATTCATTTGTTTTGTTCATTTTTACATTTTTCATTAATTTCAATTTGCTTGAAAACATTTGTACTAAACAAAAATTTGCAATGTTTCATGTTTCATTTATCATAAACTCTATCAAGATCTCCTCAAGAATAATGTATATTTATATATATTAGTAATTGAAATAAATAATTAAACATTTAGTACCCTTTAGTTATTAAGGAACGTGGCAGCGTTCCGGCCCGCCAAGTCCCCCAGCAGTACACAGCTGCTGCAGTGTATATATACATGACGTGACAAAGTGGCTTTTTTACTCGTCTATAGCTCTGAAGAAACAAAATCTATTAAAATAACTGTTCATCTACTGGATAGGGGCACTCATTCTCAACAAAATTAAAAAAAAAGAATTTAAAAACGGTAGTGTTTGAGCCAAGAAAAACTAGTTTGAAAATTCACAAATTTTCCGTGTTCTCCTTTTCCTTCTCCTCCTTCTCCTTGAATGTTGACGGACCTACAGCCCAAACCACTGGCTCAATTTTGATGTTTTTTATATTGTTTGAAAGCCCTTAACGTATAGATGTGCCTTTTGAGGGTCACAAGTCGGTGCGTTGACCCATAAATAAATAAATAAAAATGCCTTTATTTACGAGCGTCTTTCAGTAAACCCTTGGCAAGTCCTCAAAGTACGATTTTGGCCCATTTAAATAACATGGGATTAAAATCAAAACATATGAAAGACCAGCTGCGATTAAATCTCAATTAATTTAAATTTTAGAGAAATTCATAGGAACAGCTGATAATGATTTTAAAACTTTTATAAAGTATTTTTTTCAGGTATACCAAATGATTTGATCTACTTACTATATAAAATTATTACTTAGAGCAGTGATATTCCCCGATACTTTCCATTGAAAAATGTAGTGTACCTATGGTACACTGGTACAGCAGCTCGTCATTTTTAACAGTTTAATACTACTTATCAAAACATATTAAACCTAGGAACTATTCCAGTTTAAAGGGTTAATTTTTAACTACCTATCAAATTGCCCATGGACGGGCAAAGGTAAGCTTACAATTTAAGTCAATGTAAAAAGGCTGTCAGCTTTTATAATGTACCGTGGTTAAGTTTTGTTGACAACAAGGTGTAGGCTACTAAACTCTACACATTGACTGTTTACAATTAACATATGTTCTTCTCACTTTAATTTTTGCTTCGCAACGGGAAAAATCTGTTTCATAATTATTAAAATAGATTTATAATAGTCCGGTGGCTTAGTGTAATTACCGTTACCTGGCGGATAAAAGCATGAAATTTGGTATGAAGGTACCTTAGTGTACACTAATAAATTTTAGCCTAGGAGCCCTTTTGAAATTTTTAATATTTCCATACACGGCACCAAAATCCAAAATGGCCGACAAATACGACAGAAACTATCTTAAAAACAATAATGGATTGGCTGTTAACTCAAAAATAAAACTTAAATGCAACCAAGACTCTACAATACAAACCGGAGATATACTAAATTATATGAAGAAAATCGTAAATGTGTCTGGGTGCGAGTGGGGTGGGGGGGTGGTATGTGTGTGAATTTATGTAACAAAACCTGTACTGGACATTGCGCAAAAATGGTTAAACCAATTGACTGCAAATTTGGTGTGGACTTTGTTAGTATCATAAGTCAACATTTTGATCTGTTTCCTTTTACTTATCTATATTATATTTTGTTCATTTTTCTAATTTTCATCAATTTTTTTTAGATCTATTTTCCAAATTATTTTTGCCCTCCATAATTGGTCTTCCAATTTTGAAGTAATTCTTATGTAATAAAGTTTTGTGTTTAGGACATATTTATTATTTGGTATATACTTAATCATGCGCTTGAACAATCACACATCACATATCACACATAGGTCCCATTTAACATCCACGTTTAGTTGTCCTGGAAAAAATTGAGTAATTTAGTCTATGGTAAACACTACACCCCTTTGATTACGAAGGATTTTTGCAGTTATATTTTTCTATTGTATACACTATTAGCATTGACTATGAATCCTTAATAGTCAATGCTATTAGTTAGTATTACCATAGGCAAAAAGAATTAAATATAGACCGTCAGCTGTGCTGCGGTTACCATAGGTTCTGGCGCACACCGCTTGGAGCACCACGGTAGTTACGGCGTACGCGCTACGTAAACTACAGCGGTGTGCGCCGGAACCTATGGTAACCATGGCAACCGCCACGGCTGACAGTCTATATTTCATTCTTTTTGTCTATGGTATTACATTTTGGAATCTGATTAAGAAAAGCTTTATATTTTATCCTATTCTCTAATACGAGCTATGTCTGTCTGCAATATATACAGGGTGTTTTTTTAAAAACTTGCATCTTTATTTATGTAAAAACCGTAATAGATAGAAATATGCAGTTTGCGGGAATCATCTATTGACGTAGGGGGCCCAATTGTTTTGAATTCAACGTTACATTCACATTCCCCCCCTGCCCCCAACCTAATTTTTTTTAAATAGCAAGGTACCCCTTGTGACATATCAAATGAAAGAGCATGAAAAAATAAAATGTTTGGTGAAATTTATTTTTCATTTGATATGTCACTAGGGCGGGTACCTTGCTATTAAAAAACAAGTTATGGTTAGGGGGAAAGGGGGGGATTATCTCACAAATTCATGAGCCGATTTTAATTTTTTTTCACCAAAAATTTTCTTTTTTCATGCTCTTTCATTTGATATGTCACAAGGGCTACCTTGCTTTAAAAAAAAATTAAGTTCCGGGGGGGGGGGGAGGGGGGCAATAACTCACAAATTTATGAACCGATTTTCAATTTTTTTTCATCAAACATTTTATTTTTTCATGCTCTTTAATTTGATATGTCACAAGGGGTACCTTGCTATTTAAAAAAATTAGGTTGGGGGCAGGGGGGGAATGTGAATGTAACGTTGAATTCAAAACAATTGGGCCCCCTACGTCAATAGATGATTCCCGCAAACTGCATATTTCTATCTATTGCGGTTTTTACATAAATAAAGATGCAAGTTAAAAAAAAAACACCCTGTATGTTGAAATCAATATATATGTTGAAATCCAGCAGAAGGACTTTGACTAAATTTTGTAACCATAGACTTATAGTCCTGAAAATTTTGATTGGTGACAGCCACTACCTCAGGAAAATTCGTACTTGGCTACACAACTCATTTGAAAAGTAAATTTTTTTTTTTTTGTCTTATGGGTTGCTAAGTCACTTTTGGTCGAAAAAAAAAAACAAGGAAAAAGTAAACAAAAGAATTGTCACTACTCACATGTGTTTATAACAAGCCATCCACAGTATACTAGCAAATTAGAAAATACAGTGAAAAGGAAAAAAACATCAGTTGTAACTATTGAGCAAATATTACACTGAATATTACTCGATATAGTGGGAAATAGTTCCGATCAAAAACAGATTATTTTAATTAGCCTTTACCCACCAATCCCTGAAGTACTGAGGCATTCTAAGTTAACTAATTACATCTGGGTTTTTTTAATTGGCATAAAACTATTACCGTAGGTATGCTAAATCCCAATGAAAACAGACCGAATCTCAATTTCTTTAGAAGAGGTATCGAAAAAGCAAAGAACTGTTGTCACAAG